TAAAGTACTTACTAAAGAATGACATTGTATAAAAAGGAAATTATTTAAAATCAATAATATAAATACAAAAAAACATGAAAATGAACATAACACGAGACACCATTACTTATACAAAGCTTTCACGGCTTATATTCTTTTGACCGACTAGGGGTTATGAGGTCTGATAGCAGAGATAAAATAAACTAGATTTTTAAAACAGACTAATGCACTTACACACATGACATGTTGTTGTAATTTGTTTTGATTGAAAAAAAAACCCGAACAGGCCAGCAATGAGAATCCTATGTTCGTATTTTGTGTTTATATATATATATATATATATATATATATATATATATATATATATATATATATATATATATATATATATATATATATATATACAGTCACATCAACAGGCTATAAATTTCTCACTCTGACAAATGACCAACATAGCCGTGACCTTTGTTTAATCACGTGCGTGTCTCAAGGTCGTCAGGCTGGTGGTCACCAGACAAATTAATGGTCTCGATCTGGCGTCAACACCCCCCCCCCCAACCTTGAATTCCAAGACGACCAAAATCGGCTGGAAGCGCGTACATGAGGTAACAGCCCACACACCTTTCTCTGACGACCCCAAGAATATGTTCGGGTCAGGGGTCGAGGACTAAATTAGCATATATCAAGTCTATCTCTTTAAGACTAGGTCGTGGTGTCTTTAGGTCGGGTAATACCCGCTGCGATATTTTATGATAATCTCTAACAAGATGCTTTACAGCAATATTTTTGAAGCTGTGTTCGTACAACTACATTAAATTGTGGAGTTAAAAGAGAGAAGTACCACAAATGAAACTCACAATACCAGATTAATGTGTGGGTCCACTTATATCATAAGGTATTGACACAGATATAACCTTTGATAAGAGATACCATCTTCAACAATGTAAGAAAACTTGTAAATTCTCACAAATAATACACCCCATGACAAATCATAAACCCTCGCCTAAATCATAAACCCTCGCCTAAATCATAAACCCTCGACTAAACCATAAACCCTCGCCTCGATTATAAAACCCTTGCTTAAACCATAAACCCTCGTATAAACCATAAACCCCCGACTAAACCATAACCCCCGACTAAACCATAAACCCTCGACTAAACCATAAACCCTCGCCTAGATTATAAAACCCTAGCCTAAACCATAAAACCTCGTCTAAAGTCTAAACCATAAACCCTCGCCTAAACCATAAACCCTCGCCTAAACCATAAACTCTCGACCGAACCATAAACCCCCGACTAAACCATAAACCCCCGACTAAACCATAAACTCCCGACTAAACCATAAACCCTCCACTAAAACCCCCGACTAAACCACCAACCCTCACCATTGTGAGAATCCCTGCCTGAAGTCACCAGTTGAAATGACCTGCATACGACGACCTGTCGATTCTTGTGAGCTCGTCAGTCACGTGACATTTGATGACGTGGTATAAACAATGTCACGGCCGGTTAGTCGCAAGAAAAAATAATGGCGGCTCAAACTTGAATCAATTTTTTTTTTTTATTTTTTTCCTCGGATTTCTAGGAGACGACTTGTGATGACGACGCAATATAGTGGGTGTGTGGGTGTGTGGGTGTGGGTGTGATGAATTATTTCCTTTCCATCCTGTAGCACATCGGATTATACCATATGTTTTGTTATCAAGGTGGGAGAGGGGGAAGGGGGGGGGGGTGCTGCTCGGGGTCAAGGGTCGAGATTGTATTTACAGTGATTGGTGGGAAGTTGGGGAGTCTACAATGGCGTGGGTAGTTGTTAATTAATTAACGAGATATAGCACGGTGAATGTCATTTAGACGGTGGTGAAGGACATATGGGGTGAAGGTCATTTGGAGTGAAGGACATGTAGGGTGTTGGCCAGGTGGTGTGTGAAGGTCATGTAATGGTGTGAAGGTCATATGGAGTGAAGGTCATGTATAGTGAAGGTCATGAGGGGACTTGGCCATGTATGGTATGAAGGTTATGTAGTGGTGTGGAGGTCATATGGGGCGAAGGTCATTTAGAGTGAAGTTCATATGGAGTGAGTTCATCTGGGGCGAAGGTCATGTGGAGTGAAGGTCATGTAGTGGTGTGGAGGTCATGTAAAAGGGAAAGTGTGAAGGTCAAAAAGAGAGGGTGGAGGTCATGTGATTTTTCCCGGTTATTATAAAATATATCTTCTGTCGGGGTGGGGAGGGATGCGACTTAGCCTAATTAGCATGCAGCCTACAATCCATAAGTGGTCATTGTTTTTAACCCTATGTTACTTAGTACAGTAGCGTAGCGAGGTCGGGTGTCACCCGGTGCGGCACTTAATGGCGTCACATCCCCCCCCCCCAGAGGCGTAGCGACCCTTCCCGGGGACAAACTTTCAATTATCGATTTGCACCCCCAAACTTTCGATTTGCACCTCTTAAAAGACTATTTAACACTCGAATTAATCACTTAATTAAGTGGAATTATCATTTTGCTATTTTTTGCCTTGGTGTCACCCCCCTAAATGGTGTCACCCGGTGCGGTCTGCACCCCTCCCCAGCTACGCCTCCGTGTTAGTATTAGTGTGTCGACGTGATCGTAGATTACTTGAAGTAGAGCGTGACAGTATAGTTATAGATGGTTGTAGGTTGTCATTCAGACTTTAGGGTTGGGTGGGTCCGACTAGTCTATTTTATTTCCACATGTGGCGAGTGTGGTGCTAAGTCTGTGTCTTGCCACCTGCTTTCTTACGTGCGTGTGTGTGGTTGTGTGAAGTCCTTTTATTGCTTCACTTCGCTAATTAAATTCTTATTTTAATATTAAAATACAATTTTTTAGCTAGTTTACTTTAAATCTAAAACGAATATACTGCCGCTATCCTCCTTGTCGTAACAAAAATAGACCAAGAAAAAAAAAAACAAATATGATCTTATTCAATTAGTTATATAACGCGTTCAATCAGTTCATGAGATGGAAGCTTGCCATTTCATATAGGTGGCCGGAGAGGACCCACGTTTTTTAAAGCAAATTTTACTGATTTTATTAGCCTCAATATGCTAAGTACGGGTTTTAAAAAGACGCCTCGCTTTGAAAGTTGATTTAAGAAGGTGAGTGGAATTTACTGGTTAATTAACCGATTTGGCTTTAGCTAGGCACGTTATTTATCTGGCAAAAACTTAGGCAGCTTTTAAAAAAGAAAAAACCAACTTGCCACATAGGATGCGATAATATTTTTATTGACATTACAACCATTTCCTCTCGCACGCAGCTGTTAGTAAACAAATGCTGAATTGTGCAAGTTAATCGCAACTCAACTCATAAACAATAGCTAGCAGATCGGTATTCAAATGTGAATTTTATCTGGCATAATACAGAATAAAGTTGACAATCTACCTTCAACCTGAGTTTGTAAAGTCGACTTGGTGGGGAGGGGGTATGGAGGGTGGATTGGCGGCTCAACCAGTGTTTCTTCCAGACTTTTTTCTCGGGGGGGGGGGGAGGCACTTGATGTTGTTGTTTTTTTTTTGGGGGGGGGGTGGGGGTGGGGCTACATTTCCCGGAGGGGGGGAAGGAGGGCCGACACTGTTAAGTATATATTTTATATGTAAATTCCATTTCATTCGTGGGGGGGGGGGGGGGCGGTAGACATTTTCTGGGGAGAAAGACCCCCCCCCCCTCACACACACACCCTGAAGAGATGCCTGGGAGAAACTCTGGTCTTAATATCTGAAACTCTGGCACCAAACTCGGGGCTTTGGAGTTAAAAGAGCACGTCGCTAGACCACGCCCCATCCCGCTTGTACCCAGTGTCCTACATCAACATTTTACTACACCCCTCCACCCTCACACACACCACCACCACCACCACCACCACCATCACCAACACTTAAATTAATTTGAACGTGATACGTGCCCCATAAGGTAATAGAGGACTTAAAGCGGCCCAAAATAGTTAAGTGAATCTCAGATGGACGACAGTTTGAAGTCTAGACATAGAAGGAGAAGACACTAGACAAATCTGAATGGAAGATGATGAATAACCTGGACATTGTCTTCCGTGGGGTGGAGAGCCACAGGGTTGGGGGTGGGGGGTGTTATAGTATAGTTTAGTGAGGGTAAAGGTCAAGATACGCCTTTGAACCAGGCGGTCAATACCGGCAGGTGAAGTAGAGTGCATCTGTTTCCGTGTGCTCGGTTTTTGAAGTTAGAGTGTATAGTTGTGTGCAGCCAACACCCTTACACAACACCCCCACCTACCCCCCCCCGAACACCCTTACCTAACACCCCCACCCACTCCCAACACCCCCACCAACCCCCAAAACCCTTACCCACCCCCGCTGTTTTACTGTTCAACACATCAAAATGTATTTAAAACATTATGTAAATTTGTATAGAGTATAGAGAAACGAAACTTTGAAGAAACAAAAATGGTGTACACACCACTTGAGACTGTCTACATTATACTGGGAACGTATCAATAGATGATATATATATATATATATATATATATATATATATATATATATATATATATATATATATATATATATATATATGCTACAATGTGGAACGTTAATATGAGATTAGTATCTTTCAGTGTTGATTTGGGGAAAAAATATGATAAAAATGTACCTGAGTGAGCGAGATGAATGCTTATCGTAACTCAGCTTAGAGAAATCGCCCAGACCCTAATACTAAAGAGAAGAGTGGTTGTGTCCCTTTGTACCACAAAAGGTTCGCATGAATGATGATACTTTGTCTTTTACGTGAACACAACAGTAAATATGTATATATATATATATATATATATATATATATATATATATATATATATATATATATATATATATATATATATATATATATATATATATAGCCATAGCACATCAAAGTACACAAGGGCCATAACTAGACTCAACAAATTATTTCTGGGCTCTTAACCTTATTACAACCCAGTATAAATGGGCTAAAGCCCGAACAAAGCACAATGTATACTGACTATACTTACAATAGGTATGCGCCTTCAGTTCGGCCACTTCGTCCGGCCTCAACTTACTCGCTCGCTTTCCCATGGTAAACTCCAACAAGAACCACACGATATATCCACAACACCGGAGTACAGTCCCTTGAACGGAAATGTGAATGACAAAAAGTTAATCAAAATACTTCTTGGCAGTTCTCCCAGTAGACAAAAGAATATTTAAAAATATGCAGCCTTCAGATTTCAAACTCAGCGGGTCTCAATTTTTTTTTTTTATTTCCTGTAGAACACACTACGCTGTTCCTGTGTTGTTCCCGTCCTTGGAGCTAGTTCCCCTAGCGCTGGAACCATTGCTGAGCGCCTTAGCTTTCTCACAGAGCTTATGTTTTTTTTTTATCTAGCACTACGTACACGCTGCGCCCAGAAGAGACTCACATCCCTTACAGAATCAGTCACAGATCGCGAAGGGGAATGTAAACACGCCTATCTACTTATCAATCGGCCAGTCTGGAAATAAAAATAGAAAAAAAAATTAGATAAAAATTAGCAGATTTGATTTTTGGATTAATTAATGTAGGCGTGTTGGCTTTGAAGTGAAGTACACAGTTTATGCGTAATCATTAATACCGGGGGTAATTTTAGGTGCAAAATGTTGGGAAGGAGCGAAATGTATTTATAGGTGTCGTCCCAAGATCATGTTGCGTCATGGGGGAAGGGGGGGGTGCACTCGTCTCACATACAAAGTGACGTCATAACCATAGGTGAAACTGACTTGATTAACATATTTCTTAACTTTATTGAGGTCATGATTCTTCACACAATGATCTAATGACAATATCCTATGACCTAATAGATACGATGAGCACTTATGCAATGACAACATTTATATATGACCTAGAAAACCTCCTTTAATTAATGACCAAATGAGCACATTCACACAATGACCAAAATGACCACATATACACAATGACCTAATGACCATATACAAACAATGACCAAATGACCACATTCACACAATGACCAAATGACCACATTCACACAATGACCAAATGGTTATATACACACATATGACAAAACGACGAATTCACTCAATGACCATATAGCTACACACTAACATAGCCCCTTACACATTGAACACACAAACAAACACAGACACACATAAACAAACACAGACACACACACACACACACACACACAAACACAGACACACACACACACAAACACAGACATACATAAACAAACACAGACACGCATAAACAAACACAGACACACACACACACACAAACACAGACACACACACACACACACACAGACACACATAAACAAGGCTAGAAAATCAAACCTAATTATGACAAAGAAGAAGCACAACACGACAGGTAGCTAATCGCCTACCTGAAGTTTAACGCGTGCTAATTGAACTAGATAACCCAACGCCTATCCTAGCCTTCGTATTAAGCCCCCCCCCCCCCCCTCTCCCATAAGTTCTTCATTTCTAACAAGCATAGCCTGTCGTCCTTATCATCTACTTTATTCTTCATTAAAACGTTGGAGTGGATCAAGCAACGAATTAAACAACTTCGTGACCCCCCCCCCCCCCCCCCAATGTAATTATTGCGTGTTAACATTTTATGTCCTAACTACCAGTTGACTCAGAATTCAGCCCTCTTAGTACTGGATTTGTTTCAATTAAGTTTGTTCATACACAAAAATTGCAGCAGTTGTTTGATTTTGGAGTTTTCTCTCCTCGACGGGATGCTGTCCCCGGCTTACGAGCATGGAAGTCTGCGAACCGAACCCAGGGGCGTCAGGGGTCAGGCGCTATCCTTTCCCCCCCCCCCCCCCCCATAAATTCAGAGTGCTCAATTTTGACGAGGGAGACAGTGGGGCTGCATATTTCTGGAAGTCAAAGCTATGTGTAAAGACTGAGGGGCGGGGGGGGGGGGGGGGGCTAGCTGGTTAAAGTCGCCCAAGTTTTACGATATAATCTGTGTGAAATCTGGCATTTTATTAAGACAAACTGTAAGGTGCTAATGGGATTGGTGTCGTCATAAAATGAATTTGACGTCAGGGTTGGATTAGCTGTCAGAATCAATGAGGTAAGTGATCAGATACAATCGTGTCTCAGCAGAGAGGTTATGTAGCCATTACATTAGTTGTGATTGTGTGGACATGATTGTACAGCCATGGTTAGGTAGTTAAGATTGGGAGGCCATACATGTATGGACGTGATAGTGTGGCCATGATTGTGTGAACGTGATTGTGTGATTGTGTAGCCTTGATTGTCTGATCGTGAATAAAATATTTTATTTAGTTTAAGGAGGGGGGGGGGGGATGGAGGACGGTATACTTGCTTCGGAGGGGAGGGGGGGGGGAGGAGGTGGCTGCTCCCACAAAGAGACATGAAAGAAACTCTATAACTGGCTAATTCTGCTATTTTTTTTTAACATAGGCCTGTATTCATTGATAAAAATTTTGAAAAGACCTTAACAATTCTGAAGTAGATTTATCAATAACATCAGATTAATATTTTTTAATATTAATATTTTTTCTCAAAACTAATGTGTCTTAATTCCATGACAAGTCACGTGATACGTGTGACCACACTCCCCCCCTTAACATACACACAGACCCTCCATTCCCCCCCCCCCCACCCACACACACACACCCCAACACAGGAACTAAAGTGCAGGCTGACACAAATATCATATGGATTAGCTTTGCATTGTTGTGATAGCTCAGAACATAAGTTATAACCTTACCCCCCTCCCCCCCCCAACCCCAACCCCCATTCCAGCAACACAACACCCCCCCCCCCCCCATCAACAAGCCCGCTAAGTGTCCCCATCAATAATAAACATCCCCCGGCATCGACGGCATACACTCCCAATTTTCCCCGACCCCCACACCACCATAAACTCCCGGCAGTCGCACGGCCGTCCTGAGCCCGTCACTGTGATGTACATCTAATCTGAGACAAACTCGATTTGGGGACTCCGCGTAACGAAACAAAAAAAAATATAATAATAATCAAGGGAAGTAACCCACTTTTTTCTCTCTTCAGATTTACCCTTTTGTTTTGGGAATGGCGTCCGTAAAATATAGGGTCAAGTAGATTGCGGTTTAATGGTGGATGACGTCGTTTTTACCCCGGGTCACTGAGGGGTAAATGATGGGTCATGCTGTTTTTCAAGCTAGGTAATTCATAACCGTTGTATTTTTATATTGATGGAGTTGTCGCGCTTTTCATGAACGGGTTGATTACTATCTGTCTTCTCGTTTTTTAGAATGATTCCGTGGGATTTTTTTTTTTAATGTTTTATATAGAGTGGAAGATAAAGATGGATGTGGCGGTTGGATTGATTGCTAGCTGGTGGTTTAACCGGTAAACTTGGGGTTTGGGTTTGGTGGTTTGTATGTATGGTGACACACAATAGCATTGGCGATGGTGATACGGTGACACATTAAAGGTCACAGGGTGACACTGTGGCTGTTAACACAGAGAAACATCTGTGATGGTGACACAGTGATGGTGACACGGTGACACAGTGGCAAGGGTGACACACTAAAACATGTGTGCTGGTGACACAGTGAAAGTGACACGGTGACACACAGTGACAATGGTGACACACTAAAACATGTGTGCTGGTGACACAGTGAAAGTGACAATGGTGACCCAGAAATATTTGTAATAGAGACACGGTGACAAAATAGTGATTTGATACACAACAGCATTGGCAATAGTGACACGGTGACACACAGAAATATGTGTGATGGTGACACGTGACGCAGTAGCAGTCGTGACAAGGTGACACACTGAAGGTGACACACTGAAGGTGACACACTGAAGGTGACACGCAGTAGCATTGACGATGGTTGCAAACAGGGCCAGTGATAATTTTGACATTCAAAGAAATTGGTGATGGTGAACCAATGACTTAGCCAACACGGGGTGACACCCAGAAGTGGTGACGTTGAGTAAACAACGCCTTATCTGGAATGGTGACCCAACGATATCATACAGCGGTGACACAATGACGCAGGTGTACAAGCTAGGTATAAAGGTAACAAATTAACCAAACCAAAACTAAACCTACAACCAACCTACACACGCAACCCTGGGTGATGGCAGCTATAGGAACTAGCCAGGAATTGAAATCCTAACCTAACCCTAAACTACCAGTCACACCGGAAACGTGTTAGTAGTTACTGACATAATCCTAATCCGGCTAGGATTAAGACAATAGACTTAAACCCAGTTTGAACACTATTAAATTGCAGGTAGCTTATCATTTGCTTAGCGGCCACGAAAATAATGTTATAAATAAAACCTCACCACACAAAAGGCGTGGTGGTGACATAAAAAGGTTAGGGTTCGAAACCTTGTTAGGTCCATTTTTTTTTTAGTTTGATAACATTTAGGTTTTTAAGAAAACACAGCTTCGATGTGAACTAGCATAAGATGGGGCATTGTGCAGTTCATATAGTTTTTTTATTCTCTGTTGCCATAGAAATGTATAAACAAATATTGTTTTCCTATACATAAAGCCAGGTTTAGAAAGGATTTGGGTTTTTTTTTACTTACGAGATAATGCGTCCATTATGCTTACAAGTGCACGTAAGTTATGTTCTATATTGAATGTATTTATTTGAGATAGAGTCTTTAAGGCCATTATCCTCGAAGAAAGAGTTCCTTATTTTATGCACTAAACTGGGATAATCACATAAGGGCTTACTTAACTGTACCACATCAAAACACCACACTGCCACTCACAGCTAAACAGCAACGTTGCAAACGCTATACGTTTACACATCCACACAAGACAACACAACCACACAGCCATGCTTGGATAGAACCACACAAAGACATAGCCACACAACCACACAGCCACACCGTGTAAGAATGCTGCGACTGATTAACATTCACATCTCTACACAAAATCATACCTCCACGCAACCGCACATCCATATATCCAGAGAGTTATCCAACCACACAGTCATACATCCAGAGAGTTATCCAACCACACATCCATAGAGCCATCCAGCCACACAGCCATATATCCAGAGACCCACACAACCACACATCCAACCACATCACCACACAACCACCTATCTACACAACCACACCCTCCCCACCGACTCCCAAAAACATCAACAAATAAATTCTATATCGGCTCGCAGAGCCCCTAGATAAGACTCCTCTTTCCCTGCCTCAACCCCACGCCTGATAAGTCGCCGCATTAACCCACGCCTAATCTCGCGTGTAATCTCGTATGTAATCTCGTGTGTAATCTAGTGTGTAATCACTCCACAATCTCCCCCCCCCCCTTGAAAGCGGTGCAACTCACCGTTATTTGGCCACGTACAGACATAAAATTCCTCCTTCCACCAAATTTTGGATAATTTCAAACTGGTTTGGCACGAGAAATTGGGCTTTGTTAAGTTGTAAGATGAGTAAAGTCAAAGTCGTTATTTTTAAATCGATAGTTCAAAGCGAGTTTTCTGATGTCGTATGAATAGATAGTCTGTGTAGTGTTTGTGTAGGGTAACAGAATTAGACTGGGGTTAGGCTAGTAGAATAAGATTGTGTGGAATAACACAGTAAGAATGAAATTATTGTCTAGTGAGTCTAGTGTAGAACAAAACAGTAAGAATGAAACTATTGTCTAGTGTAGAATCACACAGTAAGGATGAAACTATTGTCTAGTGTAGAACAATGCAGTAAGGATAAAACTATTGTCTAGTGTAGAACAACACAGTTAGGATGAAACAATTGTCTAGTGTAGAACAACACAGTCAGGATGAAACTATTGTCTAGTGTAGAACAACACAGTAAGGATAAAACTATTGTCTAGTGTAGAACAATGCAGTAATGATGAAACTATTGTCTAGTGTAGAACAACACAGTAAGGATGAAACTATTGTCTAGTGTAGGACAATGCAGTAAGGATGAAACTATGGTCTAGTGTAGAACAACACAGTAAGGATGAAACTATTGTCTAGTGTAGAACAATGCAGTAAGGATGAAACTATTGTCTAGTGTAGAACAATGCAGTAAGGATGAAGCTATTGTCTAGTGTAGAACAACCCAGTTAGGATGAAACTATTGTCTAGTGTAGAACAATGCAGTAAGGATGAAACTATTGTCTAGTGTAGAACAATGCAGTAAGGATGAAACTATTGTCTAGTGTAGAACAACACAGGATGAAACTATTGTCTAGTGTAGAACAACACAGGATGAAACTATTGTCTAGTGTAGAACAATGCAGTAAGGATGAAACTATTGTCTAGTGTAGAACAACACAGTAAGGATGAAACTATTGTCTAGTGTAGAACAACACAGGATGAAACTATTGTCTAGTGTAGAACAATGCAGTAAGGATGAAACTATTGTCTAGTGTAGAACAATGCAGTAAGGATGAAACTATTGTCTAGTGTAGAACAACACAGTAAGGATAAAACTATTGTCTAGTGTAGAACAATGCAGTAATGATGAAACTATTGTCTAGTGTAGAACAACACAGTAAGGATGAAACTATTGTCTAGTGTAGGACAATGCAGTAAGGATGAAACTATTGTCTAGTGTAGAACAGCACAGTAAGGATGAAACTATTGTCTAGTGTAGAACAGCACAATAATGGTCTAGATGTTGTAGTACATTTGGGAAGCTGCCAAACTTGCAGTTTGTTGCTCAGTGTAATAAGGCTGGTAGCCAAGAGATGGAGCCAACAGTAGGAGCCAACAGTAGGAGCCAAAAACAGGCACTAAAACAGGAGCCAACAGAATGAGCCAACAGGCACTAAAACAGGAGCCGACAAAATGAGCCAACAACAGGAACTAAAATATAAGCCTATACAAAGGGCCAACAGCAGGAGGCAAACGCATACACTAAAACAGGAGCCAAAAACAGGCACAAAAACAGGAGCCAATAAAATGAGCCAAAAAAAAAAGGAGCCAACAACATGCAATAAAAAGCAGCTAAAGGTAACTAGTAGTTCTGAAGAAATAAAAAAGGGACAAAAAAGGAACTAAGAATATGAGACCTTAAGATGAGCCATACAATTGACTAAAAGTGGGACCATAAATAATGACACAGGGCCGTCTACCTCTAGCGTCTACGTAAGGGTGTCTCAATTGGGCGTCTGTAATGGGACGTTTTCAAGATAGTAAGTGCATAGGGGTATCTGCTCAAGGACGTCTAGAATCGCTACATTTATTATGTCATCACATCGGTGAGTCAGGATAAGACATGAGTGACTCACATTTGTTATTTGTTTGTTGTTGGTGTGTGTGTGTGTGTCGGTTTTTTTTTTTTTTTTTTTTTTTTTTTTTTGTAGTTTTGTGTTCATGTTTTTTAACGCCGCTTTCTCGGTTTTGTTTTGATCTTCTGTTGGTTTATCTTTTTAATTTTTTAAATTTTTAGTTGTTTTTTTCCCAGATGAATATTTCAGAAGGGTTTGGCAAAAATAAGGTTTATTTTATTACCTACATAAAATACATTAACTGTTTTGAATATTTCATTAAAATATGTAATTAAAAATTAAGTTTAAAATTTAATTTTTTACTAATTATAGTAATGAAGATTTAAGACGAATCAAACATATTTTTTTTTTAAAAAGTAATTACCGTTTTGCTTTTGCTAATTATCAAGGTGCCTGGCAATTAAATGTAATTAGCATACCTTCCATGCACAATATCCGGCAAGGTGTGTAGCAGAATTAAAACCACAACACACACACACGAGTGGGAAATCCAGCTGGTAAAATCCGAAACACGTGCGAGAAGCGGAACACACCGAATGCGAACACACTGCCGTACACAAGAGTTGATTAGCGAGCGTGTATAAACTCACACACGCATCCACGCGCACGCCAACAGGAATAAAAACAAAAAAAAAAATTAAGAAAAACCCCGTGTGATAAACTAACACATAAGCGCACACACACACACAGTTTTTTTTTAAAAAAAACAGGGGGGCGGGGGGGAATAAAATGAAGCCACAGGCATCCACTGATAAAGACTATTGGTCGGGCTCGCGGTTTTCAGACAAGCCAAGGTAGCGCGTGGAAGCCACGAGAAGGGGGAAAAAACGCACGTGCTTGACGGCGCGGGAGTGCGTGAGTGCCGCGGTGAAGTCTCCGGTACTCACAGACATTCTTGCCTACATCGTGTGTCCCCCTCTCCCCCCCCCCCCCCTCCTCCAACCCGGCGGGTATCACGTGGGTCGGTTAATTTGAAGACGATGCCGAGTGTGAGAAACGAGGTTTTGCCGCGGCGGCACAAGGCACATCTACCAATACATGAAAATTAGACGCTGTAGGGCACGAGATTGTGGGGAGGGGAGGGAAGAAAGGGGAAAGAAAGGGGGAATTTTTTTTATTTTATTTTAGAAACGGAAAAATCCGAAAATGAAAAGAGAAATCGGAAATAGTTTCTTTCATTTGTAATGGGAAAGGGGTGAAACGTTGAATCAAATTAACAAATTGAGGTTGGATTTTTTTTTTTCTTTTTACTTTCTCGTATATACGAAGTATAGAGAAAGTATTGTAATCGTGCACAAAAATAACTTGAAATTTTAATATCTTTCACCGTATTACACCTCAGTCCTTCATCACATCCGAAGTTTAGAGGACTTATTTTAATCGGGCAAAAATTATCAATCCAGATTTATCAAAACTAAGAGGTTTTATGCGTAATCCAGTCTGAAAAACTGGGCTTTGCAATTCTGTCCGTATGTCTGTGTGTCTGTGTGTGTGTGTGTCCGTGTGTAAACACGATAACTTGAGTACCGTTACAGCTAGGTTGATGAAATTTCATATATAAGTATTTTATCAAAATCGTAGATCCGTATCAACTTTTGAGCGATTTCCAATAACCGGAAGTGGTACTTTTTCTACTTTGAATTTTTCAAAAGCCTATAACTTGATTACTATTTCAGATAGATAAATGAAATTCCACAAGTAAGTATAAGATCTAATTCTCTACCTTATGTTAAATTTTGAGTAGCTTCCGTTGACCGGAAGTAGTAATTTACGCTACTTCCGATTTCTCAAAAAACTAATGTAAATTTATTAAGTACTAATACTATTGCGCACTATTATACACACCTTTATTAGGCGTTCGCTTGGTGCGCAATTGTTTTTTACTGAGATTCTATTGTATTTTTAAAAGTTTAAGTATTTAAAATGGATTAAAAATCATAACTATATCCCCAGTTACCATCCCCTGTTGTTTTATATAAGAATATTCGAGAAAGTTTAGGGGAGATCACTACCGGTTTATTGTAACTTGGCATGAAATTGGAAGATTAAAATTACGCGTGTTTAACCTTTGTTTTATACGAAACGAAATTGTAATACGTGGATCAAATGAAACAATATTTCATTATTGTGGCTCATTAATGTGGTTTCAGCCTAATTACACTTTGAACTAATTGAAATGTAGATATAATGTTGATGTGGAAAGATTTAGTTTCTTGAAAAAAAATATGAAAGATGTTGTTACAAAAATGGACGAATGCGCTAATATAAGAGAGTGAAATATGATGCGAATGTTTAGCTATTGGGTGAAACATCGAACAAAGATCAAATAGTGGATTTATGTTTGACATATGGGCTCGTTATGTTATGCTCAACGTTTGGTGAACATTAGGAAAGTTACAACTACAAGCAGCTAAAGATTTTTGTTGGGGTGTGCGGGAAGTGCTGACATTTTGTATATACAGATTTCTTTTCTAAAACACATATATGTATGTGTATGTATATATATATATATATATATATATATATATATATATATATATATATATATATATATATATATATATATATATATATATATATATATATATATATCGTGCAGTTCATTTTATTGTTTAAATAAATTAATAAATTAAGGAACAGAAAAATGAGACGCCCATTAATTTTATTTTTAAAAAAAATATTTTCAATTATTTTTTAAATTCCAAAATGGGTGGATTCTATGCGGCCCTGGATCCACCATTAGGCAAGTATTCAATGTCATGCCGGGGTTTGTCTTAATGCATGTTCAATCGTTTAGCAGTGGGGGGAGGGAAGGGGAAGCATGTTGAGAAAAAGTACTCTCCCTTTTCCCGCCGTGGGTTTGGTTTACTGGCTACGTTAAATGGAAGTTCAGACAGGTCCGCAGCTATAAAAACATCAACACGTTTACACGCTGGAGGGGATTAATGCAGCGCTTTGTTGTGTGTTAGTTGTGTGTAGTAGAGAGGGGGGCGGGTGATGCAAAGGTGGCTGTGTAGCGTTAAGTTGGATTAACACACCGCCTTGTTGTGTGTTAGTTGTGTGTAGTAGAGAGGTCGGGGGCTGTAAGAAATGGCTGTGTAGCGTTTCCATGGCGTAAACTTAACACACTGCCTTGTTGAATGTGTGTGTTGTGTGTAGTGGGGGGGGGGGGGGGGGGGTCGCTGTAAAGATGGCTTTATAGCGTTGCAGTGGCTTGAACTTAACACACCGCCGTGTTGTATATGTTGGGTGTAGTAGGGGGGTGGGGACTGTGTTGCATCACGGTTGTTGTATTATAAACTACACCCCTCCCCTGCACATCATCTTTACCTACGACAATTGTCACAAACGCCCCCACCCCTTTTCCTTAACCCCCACCCAATATCATCTTTACCTACGACAATTGTCACAAACGCCCCCACCCCTTTTCCTTAACCCCCACCCCATATCATCTTTACCTACGACAACAGTCACAAACCCCCCACCCCCTTTACTTAACCCCCACCCCATATCATCTTTACCTACGACAATAGTCACAAAAGCCCCCACCCCCTTTCCTTAACCCCCACCCCATATCATCTTTACCTACGACATATAGTCACAAACGCCCCCACCCCTTTTCCTTAACCCCCACCCCATATCATCTTTACCTACGACAATAGTCACAAACGCCCCCACCCCCTTTCCTTAACCCCCACCCCATATCATCTTTACCTACGACATATAGTCACAAACGCCCCCACCCCCCTTTCCTTAACCCCCACCCATATCATCTTTATCTACGACAATAGTCACAAACGCCCCCACCCCCTTTCCTTAACCCCCACCCCATATCATCTTTACCTACGACAATAGTCACAAACGCCCCCACCCCCCTTTCCTTAACCCCCACCCCATATCATCTTTACCTACGACAATAGTCACAAACGCCCCCATCCCCTTTCCTTAACCCCCACCCCATATCATCTTTACCTACAACAATAGTCATAAACGCCCCCACCCCTTTTCCTTAACCCCCACCCAATATCATCTTTACCTACGACAATTGTCACAAACGCCCCCACCCCTTTTCCTTAACCCCCACCCCATATCATCTTTACCTACGACAATAGTCACAAACGCCCCCCACCCCCCTTTCCCCATTATTTCACCCCTGGTACACAACGTGATTTAGAAACGAGCACTAACTTCGAATCCAAGTTCAAGTCAGTGACTGGAACGTCCCTGAGTCGACCCAACGATAGGAAAGTAAAAGCAGCTAGGCATAGTGCTAATTACATAATCCCTTCATTTGCCGAGGTCATAAAACATATGAACTCTACTTCATCTGCCCAATGGATCGATATGTCTAAAGAAGAGTCTGTACTAAGGATGGCGCTACTGGCAAAAAATTAACTCTCTTACTCCCCGCCGACACTTCAATAAGTCCCCCCCCCCCCACACACACACATCACTAAACAGACACCACTACTAATTACAACACGGCACGTTATGAGACTGTGGTGGGGGATGGGGTAGGAGGGGGTATAACTGAACTAGAAGATCACTTCTCATCAATACATATGTATAGAGAGTCTGGGCATCGGGTCGCTTGCCTGAGACATCAATAGGGCCTCTGTGGGGTGCCTCACTGTATAGTTGTGTTACTTTATCAATAAACCATAGTCCAGACTTTAAACGTGGCTCACGATTACAGTGAATCGAATTTGGTTCACAGGCATGGGTCTCTATGACGCCCCTGAGTCCACCTGGCTCTAACAGCTACGTCATTCGAATTTTGGGCTTGAGGTCATCCAGGTGTGACGTCATGCGATTATTCACCCAACCCTTCACTTTATTTTCCACAAATTTCCATAGAAAACCAGTAACCATTTGTAAAATCACATCATAGGTAAGTAAATTTGGTAATCTATCGTTTTAGGTACGTAAAATCGCCCGCGACTAGTAATGTGAAAAACAGGTGACTCCTTACATTTTAATAATTATTTCACAGTTTGAGGAGGATTTATGTTTTGAAAAATACAAAAACGTTTCCTTGTTTCATTTATGTACCTGTTTTTAAACAATTGAATAAAAACTTTTCAGTAATAAATGAACACCAGCGATGTTTCCAATAGATGCAACAATGCTCATTTACTATAGCAGCCATCTTGTTAAAGTTTTATTTTTGTAGACTTATAGCGCAAGATTCAGGCGGAAGTCGCTCTATTTTACAAATGGCTGCTGTTTATATAGCAAATCTTGCTTGCAGACACTGCTGTTTAAAGTTAATTACTGGCCTATATTGATATATTTAGCCATTGATTTAGGTTTATTATTCATTTATCTATAATATTTGACACAAACATTTCACAATATACTTAGTATTACAGCCTTGATATTGAGGTAACGTTTTCGTACATTAATAGCCGCGGGCGATTTTACGTACCCAAAACGATAGATTACCGTAAATTTTTGTTATATCACTCTATGAGTCTGTGATAGTCTCGATTTGTCAATTGCTTATATTTTAAGTCAAATAACCAGTTTATTTTAGCTTTTCAGTTTTCGTTTAAATAATAACACGCTTACAAATTTAAAGAAATAACATTTTACCAACTTACCTCCATTGCTCGAGAAACCAGTGTACTCCAATGAAATGTATTTACGGTCAACAAAAACCAAATAAAACAAGAACCCAGAAGGACCAATGTCGTGTTAGGATAGAATTCAAAAGTAGGAACTTAGGGGAATTCCCTTTATTCTTTCCTCAATAGTTTGATGCGCAACACATATCGTTTTTCTTAAAGATAAAACAAGGCTAGACGATACTAGACGGCACAAGGCAGTATTGTTTGATACGGCACGGCAAGTAGGGCCTATCTGTACTGAATCAAAATTCTGGTTAATAATATACTGATAAATGAATAAATGAAAAAGCTCAAAATGTTGTGGTTTCGATAGTCTTTTTTTTTCCCATTTAATATACATCCAGAGTATGGTTATAATTACCAATAAAAAGCATTGATTGGAAGTTAACTGCCCAAACATTAATAAAGGAGGGGGGGGGGGCTGTTGTTGCCTAAATTGAACAGAATTGCAACTTTATAAAGTTGAAAAAGAAATATAATAAACAAAACTAAAATTTTCAATTACAACAATTTTATTGGGCATCATAAATAAATTTTTAAAATTAATGTAAAATAGACATGTTAAAGACAAAACATCATCTCAGTATTCCACTCAAAGATAATTTACATGTATTTTAATCAACACTCTTCAACACGCCATCTGTTGAGGAATATTCACATTACTTCTGACTTGCATAATAATATATTTACTGCACAAATAGGCAAGTATAGCAGTAGGAGAGACAACTCAATTAATACGGCAACGAAAATAATTTACGAATTACCTCCCTTTATGATTTTATATGACATTTTGTTTTTGTTAGTAAATCTATTGAAATTCTTTAATGTGGGAAGAGAGTTGGTTTTGAAAAGCAATTCATGTTCATAAAAGCAAGATTTGACTTTTTCTCGGTACGAAACTGTCAAGTATTAAACGACTGACTGTTGGACATGTATTACATTTTTTTTTTTTTAATTATATTTACTTCTATACTTTTAAAATGATAACCTTTAGCCAAATCTCATTTTAATATTGTTAGAAGACAACATTTACATTTTAACTTATTCAACCATTTTACATAAACAGTAAAACGTAAATATTTTTGTTACATAGCAATAGGTACAACTTTTGATCAACAACATACATCACCAGCCACACCATCATTTACTCAGTCTATTCACCATCAACAACATATACTACCAACCACACCTAGATATCTACCAAACAGCCACACCATCATTAACTCAGTCTATTCACCAGCAAACAACATACACCACCTGCCACACCTAGATATCTACAACACATCCAAACCATCATTTACTCAGTCTATTCACCATCAACAACATACACCACCAACCACACCTAGATATCTACAACACATCCACACCATCATTTACTCATTTTATTCACCATCAGCTCTATGTTCAATTTTAACACAGTGAAAACTACAGGTCAGTCACTTTTGTTGTGTCTCTATGTTGTCTTTATGTTTCTCTGTCTGAGAAAGTTCTAGAAGATAGTGAGTTTCTTGTGGGCACTCCGCCTGTCTCTGTGTGTCTCAAGGGTCTTGGATGAAGTCTGGAGCTGTGCCAGATACTTCTCCTGGTCAGATATTTTCCTGCTAACCGAGTCTGCTAGTTTCTTGTCCCTGTTGGTACAAAGTCAAATCTCATTAGCATGGTGGGAGGGTTGGAAGATGTGGTGTGGTGTGCTTTGTTGTGTGTTGTGTTGTAAATGTGTGTTGTTTAATACATGTGTAATTGTGTTGTGTTGAAATTGTTGTTTTGCGCTGATGTTTTTGTTTTATGATGTGTGATTACCTGTGTTTCGCTGTGCTCTTCTTTGTATGGTTTGATGCCATTTATGTTGTGTTACCTTGTATATAGTAATCATATATATTGTGTGACCTGTGTCATTTTGTAGGTTGTGTTGTCATGAATGATGTGTCATCATGTAACTTGTGCCATGTATGTTGTGTCACCATGTATATTGTGTCACCATGTATGTTGTGTCACCATATATATTGTGTTACCATATATATTGTGTCACCATATATGCTGTGTCATGATATATGTTGTGTCACCATGTATGCTGTGTCACCATATACATTGTGTCACCATATGTTGTGTCACCATATATGTTTTGTCACCATGTATGTTGTGTCACCATATATGTTGTGTCACCATATATGTTGTCACCATATATGTTGTGTCACCACATATATTGTCACCATGTATGTTGTGTCACCATATATGCTGTGTCACCATATATGTTGTGTCACCATGTATGCTGTGTCACCATGTATGTTATGTTGTAGTTACCTGGACAAGTTCCTGGCCAGTTGTTGCTTTAAATGTTGCAGATGTTTCTCTACTGACTTTATCTCCTCGCTGGTTTTAAAGATCTAATAGAATAAGTAAAGAAAAACTTGCAGTGTGAAAGGCATCAATGAAAACGATACTGAACAATTTTTTTTTTAAATTGGAAAAAACATGGACTAATTAACTGTGCTAACAATGACGGAGTGGCCTAGCATTAGAGAGCTGGACTACTAACCTATACGTCTCAAGTTCAAATCTGGGTTCAAGTCAGTAGACCGTCCCTGAGTCCACCCAACTCTGAGGGGTACCTAACTCGCGTTAGGGAAAGTAAAGGAGGCTGGGCATAGTATTGACCACACTATCTCTTCATATGCCGAGGTCACAAAAACAAGTGAACTCTACTTCACTTGCCCTATAGACCGTCAGGTTTGAAAAGGGAACTTTACTTAACAATGACAAGAATACTTTCAGGTGCCATAATGACACCATCCTTCTCTTACAAGACACATTTTTTAAAGGATAAACATGAAACATGCATGCCTCTTAAGAAATGTCAACAAAACATTTTGCTGTTTATAATTTGTAGGGTCAAATGTCCTATGCGTACCTGTACATTGACTTCCTTATCAGACTTGTTGCTCAAATCTTTCTCTGTCGACTGGGTGACTTGTTCTCTAGGGTTCCTGTGTGACTTGTGCTGCTGATCTGTGAGGGGGAGACATAGAAGGGAGACAACTCTGAGTGGTGAAATAAGGGGGATAACAAACAAAATTAAATAAAAGGTTTTGTAATTCTATGAAATGGTTACATTGATTGAGTGCAGGTTAGTGGTATAGGTGAGTTTATAGGCAAAGGTAAACGCTTCGTCATAAACATTGTAAACAACTGAATAAGACAGGTAAATACTAAAAAAACAAATTGAGACATGGAAGTAAAACCATGTTTAGCAACCATTCATGGGATGAAATATTTTTATTTGTGTGAGACATACCTAATGTTGTTTTGAATACATGATATTTTATTAAATGACGTCTCAAGTTTTTGACATCTCAACCATAAGACATCACTACATTTGACAGTTTTTTTAATACGCCAACTCTACCATATAATATAAATTATGTACTATATGGCATCTGTACAATAAGATATCTCAATCATATGATATCGCAATAATATGGTATCTCTATGACATCTGTACAATATGACATCTCTATCATGTCACCTCTAAACATTTTGCCCTTTATCATCCCTACCATGACATCCTCTCCATATGTCATTCTTACCAGATGCCATCTCTGCCATATGACACCTCGATCGTCTGTCATCTCTGTCTTACACGATCCCAGCGTATCTTCCCCCCCCCCCCCCCCCACTGATAATCCCAGCGTACCCCCCCCCTCCCCCCACTGATAATCCCAGCGTACTTCCCCCCTCCCCCCACTGATAATCTCAGCAGGTAACAACATCAAAGAGATCAACATCTCGTGTCCCCACCCAAACGAACATCAATCTCCCATTTACTACAGCACAGGCCGGTAACAGAGCAATTTGATCTGAACACGACATCAGATACTAGACGACACCCCCCCCCCCCCTCACACGATTGATTTGTATGATTGCAAGTTACGGACGGACCTGAACCATTCCGTAACATTGTTGTAAAAAGGAAAAGATCGTAACAGTACATCCTTGCAACAACTACATTACAGTGTGTGAAAGATTACATTTCTACAGCACATAAGAAATTCAAACATGAAGATTACTGAAACTTCCACTCACAAAAGCTGGAGCAGTTTTTTTTTTTTATTGATGGAAGATTAAACATGTTTCGCACTTAGATCGTATTAAAGACATTAACTTATGGCCCATCAAAGCCCTTTATAATTTCCCACTAAAGTCCTGTTAGAATTGGCCACCAAAGCCCTTTATAATTTACTATCACGACTAAGTCATATGCCTATTTAGACTTAGTGATTCATTGGACTGAGTTCCTATTTCTTGACCTCGGCATATAAAGGGGCGGTGTGGTCAGTACTATGCCCAGTCGCCTTTACTTTCCCCAAAGCAACTTAAGTACCCACAGAGCTGGATGAACTACAGTCACTAGTCCGAGCCGAGATTCGAACTCAGTACCTTCGGGCTAGCTAGCAGACAAACGCCATTTACTTTCGACCATGCCGTCCTACAATTCTCCACTAATGCCTTCTAAAATGTCCCCACTGAAACCCTATATGTCTACCGCTCTATACGTCTACCGCTCTATAAGTTATTCACTATAAGTCTACCCCTCTATAAGTCTACCGCTCCATAAGCCTACCACACTATAAGTCTACCGTAGACCACTAAGCGAGTTTTGACTCTTTGATGTACGGGCCAGGTACCCTCCAGTAGATGTGTGACTCAGGCAAACAAAAGCAAGTGGATCGCCCGTCGCCACATCAAACACAAGCAAAGAAAGACAGCATTGATCTCTTGATAACATCTTCAGTCGGGTGAACTTTGTTGCTCAAGATTAGAGCTTTAAAGTCTGTACTAAAAGGGAGGTTAAAGGTGAACAATACAGGTTTACAGTCTGTACAAGTTTAGTGACCAAATATATACCCACTTGTAATCATTTAATAACATTTCATAATGGCGGTAACTGAAGCCATAACGAATACAGTATCTCCTCTAAATGTTTAATGTTTTGACTTGCTATCATTTAACAAGGTACCTTGATCTCAAGAAAAGCCCATCTATTTGGTATTTAGCATACGCCTACAGCTCAACATGAAGAATGGTTCCAGAAAAGATAGAGCAGGTTCGGATCCTGTCTAGCGATAGATTGCTGTCTTTCATCATACTACGTACCCATATCTACCTATGACGTTGAAATAATGCTTTACGACTACATTTCTAAACATTCACAGCTCCTATTCTAATCAAGCCTTATGTAAAGGTATCTATTATACGACATATCGTTTCGAATCTCTAGAATATAAACCTATTATAAATCCATGATCTTTAACTCAGTGTAAACTAGCCTCAACCTTACCGTGTGATGTCAGATTGGTCTACGACTAAGGTAACCATCCCCCCCCCCCCCCCCCCCCATCAGCAGAATGTCCGCCGGCCGCATTGATTGGAATTAAAACAGGCCCGTAGCAGGGGAGCGAACCAATGATTTCCCTGGGTTACAAAGGGAGTGAAGCAGCGATTTCCCTGAGCGAGTACTGGGTGGGTGATCGATGACGGGACTTAGTTGTGGTCAGGTGGTTCTCAACATGGTCTGTTAAACCGTGTGTGCAATTCGAACTAGTTCATCGTGTGTTTTAGATCAGATACGTTGGTAAGCCTGTGTGTTATTCCAACTAGTTTATCGTGTATTTTAAACCAGGTCCGTGGATATTGAACAAGAGTTTCTAGTGGGTGAGATCATATTCTCATAGTACACAATTGTGTGCGTATACACACCCAGACATTGGAAGCGAGGTAAGTAGAGGAGCATTTACCTTTGTACACATACTCGTTCATTTCCGTGTTTCTTTCTGGCTTTTTGTTTTTATAGGGGGAGTCATCCCCACACGGAAAACGCCCCCCCCCCCCCCAAGAAAAAAATACATACATTCAATTTGTATTTTTAAAAAATATAAATTAACCCATTGGATGATTCAAGTCCCCCCCCCCCCTCCCCCCGCCCTCCACACCGGCAGCCTCCCCAGGAAGAAAGATAACTAAAAGACAACCAATGTCATTGGTGCATGGCCACTTATTTACTCGGCAGGACACCGAACCATCCAAAGCTACTCATATAGCTTGAATAATCGAACGGTGCTTCACGTTAGCTTACACACGATAAGGGTTAGGTTTGAGTTTTAATTCAAGGGAAGGTTAGTCTAAGAGATGATAAGAGTTGAGTTTAGGTTTTAAAAAATTACCCCCCTTCTGTCTGGACACATCATTAGATGACCCGTCAGTCTGGACACATCATTAGATGACCCGTCAGTCTGGACACATCATTAGATGACCCGTCAGTCTGGACACTTCATTAGATGACCCGCCAGTCTAGACACGTTAACAGACACCATAAAGAAATGCCGCCGAGCAGAGCTATTCACCAGTTGCTCTAGAATTGACCATCCACCTTTTTAGACAGAATAGACGCCTGGTCTATGCAATCAATCGATTTTCTAATTACGCATTACATTGTCTGGTGATTGGGTGTGCAAATGGTATAGGAGCTAAAAAAAACACCCTGTTATTTTACGAGCATCATGATGTGTTATAGGAGATACAAGGACCTGTTGTTATAGGAGCTACAAGGACCTGTTGTTATAGGAGCTACAAGGACCTGTTGTTATAGGAGCTACAAGGACCTGTTGTTATAGGTCCTACAAGGACCTGTTGTTATAGGAGCTACAAGGACCTGTTGTTATAGGAGCTACAAGGACCTGTTGTTATAGGTCCTACAAGGACCTGTTGTTATAGGTCCTACAAGGACCTGTTGTTATAGGAGCTACAAGGACCTGTTGTTATAGGAGCCACAAGGACCTGTTGTTATAGGAGCTACAAGGACCTGTTGTTATAGGAGCTACAAGGACCTGTTGTTATAGGAGCTACAAGGACCTGTTGTTATAGGTCCTACAAGGACCTGTTGTTATAGGAGCTACAAGGACCTGTTGTTATAGGAGCCACAAGGACCTGTTGTTATAGGAGCTACAAGGACCTGTTGTTATAGGAGCTACAAGGACCTGTTGTTATAGGAGCTACAAGGACCTGTTGTTATAGGAGCTACAAGGACCTGTTGTTATAGCAGCTACAAGGTCCTGTTGTTATAGGAGCTACAAGGACCTGTTGTTATAGGAGCTACAAGGACCTGTTGTTATAGGAGCTACAAGGACCTGTTGTTATAGCAGCTACAAGGACCTGTTGTTACAGGAGCTACAAGGACCTGTTGTTATAGGAGCTACAAGGACCTGTTGTTATAGGAGCTACAAGGACCTGTTGTTATAGGTGCTACAAGGACCTGTTGTTATAGGAGCTACAAGGACCTGTTGTTATAGGAGCTACAAGGACCTGTTGTTATAGGTCCTACAAGGACCCCTTGCTATAACAGCTACAAGGACCTGTTGTTATATAGGAGCTACAAGGACCTGTTGTTATAGGAGCTACAAGCAGCTATTGTTGTAGGTGGTGAAAAAAGCAAGCATATCAAATGAAATGAGATCAGCACCGCTTATACAGCCTACATGTCATTGTTCTACAGAGCACACACACGGGGATCATCTGGAAGCTGCTGCTGCTATGAAGAGTGTGGTGATAATGAGAGGAATGACTGGTAGCAGACATAAAGGCACAGCCCAGACTTACGTGCCCGGGTCACCGTGACCCAGAGCTCTAAGCTGGGTCACCAGGATTGCCTGGCCATTCGTGTTTACATTGGATGAATGAGGCGGGTGCCTGGAGATGATGCAATTGGGGGGGGGGGGGGGGGAGGTGTAGAAAATACGGGGGGGGGGGGGAGAAGATGAGAGAGTGTAAATGATGTGACGTGACGAGCAGCTATAAAAGGCGGATGTTCTAGAAACGGGGGGGGGGGGGGGGGAGAGAGAGTTAAAAGAATGGACGTACAGAGAGAAGGGGTGTGGGTAGGGAGTGAGGGATGTGTAGAGGAGGCGCAAGAGAGTGATGAGGACAGAGGGACTATATGTGTGGGTGTAAGAACA